GTCTCTCTGACTGAAGCTCTTCCCACATTTCATACGTCTCTCTGACTGAAGCTCTTCCCACATTTCATACATATGTATGGTTTCTCTTTTGCATGGGTCCTTTGATGTGAACTAAGGTCATTGCTATGACTGAAGCTCTTCCCACATTCCATACATATGTATGGTTTCTCTTCTGCATGGGTCCCTTGGTGTAAACTAAGGTCATTGCTATGACTGAAGCTCTTCCCACATTCCATACATATGTATGGTTTCTCTTCTGCATGGGTCCCTTGGTGTAAACTAAGGTCATTGCTACAACTGAAGCTCTTCCCACATTCCATACATATGTATGGTTTCTCTTCTGCATGGGTCCCTTGGTGTAAACTAAGGTCATTGCTATGACTGAAGCTCTTCCCACATTCCATACATATGTATGGTTTCTCTTCTGCATGGGTCCCTTGGTGTAAACTAAGGTCATTGCTAAGACTGAAGCTCTTCCCACATTCCATGCATGTAAATGGTTTCTCCTCTGTGTGGACCCATTGATGGCAACTAAGCTTACTGTTCATGCTGAAGCTCTTCCCAATTACATGCATTTATACAATTTCTCTTCTCTCTGGGTTCTTTCACGTGAAAGTTGATCTCCACTCATACCGAGAATCTTTCCATGTGCCGTTCAGTTTCTAGGACATCTGTCCTCTGGGTGATTTGAATCTTTGTACAAGATCCAGCACACTGCAGGTGGAGTTTGTAAAGGACTTTAAAAGATAGACTTGCACCTGCTGTTTCCCCACAGACTGGTCTGTTCCCTCTTCTTCTTTTGTTTTGTTATTATCACTGGATCCAGGGTCTCAAAAACATCAGAAGCCAAAGACAGGATTACATCTATTTTTTAATTTGCTTCTACGCTCCCCTTCATGGTCCGTTTTTGTTCCAGACTTCATTTTCCCTCTTTCATGCTGATTTGTTTTCTTGTTGTCTTTTTTTAAAACCTGAAATAAAAGGGGAAAGGTTCCTCAGTTAAGAACAGAAGCGGAAAGGATCATTTGCACCTTTCCAAAGTAACCCACCTCGACTGAATCCCCTTTAAGGTTAGCACCCAATGCAGAATAGGCCAAACGTACGTCTAGAGGAGTTCTCTACAGTGGGACCTCAACTTACAAATGTCCCTGCCTACGAACGATTCGACTTAAGAACGGTTCCATTCACAAAAATATACATCGACTTCCGAACAGAGCCTCCACCTACGAACAAAAAAAAAGCAGGGGAAAAGGGCAGGAAATTCAAATTTCCCCTGCCTTTTCTTCATTCCATTCAAACCGTTGGTGGTGAAGAGGGTGCTCTTTTGCCCCAATGGTTAAGAAAATTATCCCCGGGAGGTGTCCAATGGAGAATTTTAAATTTCCCGCTCTTGTCTGTCACCGCGATTGGACCTCCAGGAGGTCTCCAATGGTGGCGAGGAAGCTCCCACGGCTTTCCTGCCGCCATTGGAGACATCCCATGGGTCCCCGCCACCGCGATCGGCACCTTCAGGCTTTCCCGGGGAGTAGGCCGGCCCTACTGGGAAGGCCATCCCCTGGTGGGCCCGGTCTACCAGGCTTTTATGGCTTTGCGTTAGTACCTATGGGAACTAATGCCTCTACCTAAGAATGAAAAACAGCAGATAAGGATTAAATGATTTTCAATGCATTCCTATAGGAAATGGTGCTTTGACTTAAGAACATTAAGAACGCAGCTCCAATTTGGGTCCCACATCTAGCAGAACAACCATAACCCCTCATGTCCAGTTGTTCTTCCCCTTTTTCCTATTTCAAAGTTTAGGTTAATTCAGTTCTTTTTTTAAAAAAAAAAAACCCTTCAGTTTATGAATGTGGGACATTGTGCTTGGAAATGGTCCAATATTCCAGCACAATGTGATGCCCTCGTTGCCAGTAGGAAAAAGGATGCCAAACCTTACATAGCAACGGTTAGCCTGAATGCTGACAACATCAATGGCAGCAATCAAGATGATTTACAGGAACCTCTCTTGTGCTCATTACCATTCACACTGGTTGAAAAGCAGTCCTGATAGTTACTTTGCATTTGGGTGAAAAGTGGTGAACTGATGAAAAAAGAAATCAGCTTCTGGGATGGTCCTTTGTGTGGTGTCAGTTTGCGAATGGTAGTGGTGGTGGTGGGACACCAACCCCTCAACCATTTGCCTGTGGTGTTTCTCATGATTCCCTGATTCCCCATCCCATTTCATATAGACATGAAAAACCTGGAAGAGGCTGTCCAGGATTTTGTGGTCTGGTACCATCAGGAAGAACAGGTAAGTTTGGCCTTGGAGTTCAAAACGAAGCAGGGCAAAGGCTAATAGAGTTTTGTCAAGAGAACAAGTTTGTCATCACAAATACTCTTTTCTAACAACACAAGAGGCGACTCTACATATGGATATCACGGGATCGGCAACACCGAAATCAGATTGATTATATTCCCTGCAGACAAAGATCGAGAAGCTCTAGACAGTCAGCAAAAACAA